CGTGACGAGGGAGCAGGCACTCGCTGCCACAGAGGAGGGGTGCTGCTGTGGCTGGTAGAGGAGGAGGCGCCACCGTGGCAGGTGGAGGCTGAGCTAGAGAAAATTCGAGGGGGCGCGTTTGCCTCGTGGGTACATATATTTTATCGTGAGGGTGCGAATATGGTGAATATTTGGACGTTATCAATGTTTTTTCAAATTTTTGTGGGTGCGGGCATACCTAGAGTTCACTATATAGATCCACCCGGCAACGGTGCCGCTGTGCCCGGTGGAGAAAGAACACCGTGGCTGGGGTACCACCACCACCATTTGGCACAAGATTTCCCTTAACCGCGCGCGCACTGGATCCGTGCCGTCGGGTTGGGGACGCCGGCGCCCCATACAACACTCCTTGAGACGGCGTCTCGGCCTTGGGCCCCAGGAGTTTCCTGTTGTCTTGTGAGACGACGTTGACCCCGTCTCCTAGTGTTGGCAGAGTGTTTTTTTTCTTCAAAATTTACATTGTGGAGACACACTTAAGAGACCCGTTGTACTCCCTAATTTATTTGGAGAAGAGAGAAAAAAACGACTTCCATAAACAGTGCATGAGTTGGAGGAATTAGAGCCCTGAGAGCCTTTCCAAATGGCCCGTAAAAAATCCGGATCCAAACTCCATAGGTGCTTTGCTTGAACTATAGAGGCAAGGGCCTCAGTCTCAACTAAGTCCTGATCAAAAGAGCCTAAATGAAAGCAGTCGTTTGTTAGATTGCCAAAGGCGGACCGACCTAGACCTTGGTAGAGTAGTTGCCCTACCTCTCCCGGCAAGCAAGATCTACCAATAACCTCCGCCCAGGCCCATCAGACCTTAGCGGCTTAGCGTTAGGGCAAGAAGAAGGAATAAAATTGTGGTCACATGAAGTATAGCGGGTCCAGTGACGGAGGCAGCAGTGGGGCTAGGGGGCTTCCGATCCTGGGCACGTAGAGCCCCTAAGTCCTCTCTTAAAATTTTATGCATATATGTATTAGGTAGGAAAGACTAAAGTTAAGAGAAGATAAAAAAGCCTCTATTCTTTTGTTCAGTCCCTTTTAAATTTTTTTCTAGCTTCGTCACTGAGCGGGTCTATACTATTCTTGATGAACGACACATGACATCTTAAAACAAATCATGCGGTCAACAAAACTATCAATTATTACACGTATAAATATGGTCACATGAAGCATTACTGTTATTTAGATTAGCAGATCAGTCATGTAAGAGCAGTCCCAACGGTCGAAACCAGGCACCGTTTTCATGAAAAAAACATCTATAGAAACTAAATTCCACGATGCTGATGTCTTCGTCTCAACTTTTTTACTGTCTCTCCCTTATGTCTCCGATGCTTTCTCTCCTCTCGTCCTCCCTCTGCCAACCAAAGCAGCCGCCGTGGCAGCGAAAGGTGGTGGCGCGCGACACTGTGGCGAAGCGAAGGGGCATGGCGTGGCAGCAGCATTTGGCGACCGGGCGAGGTCTTGTGTGTGTGTGTGGGCAGCGAAGCGAGCGATGGCAGCCACAGAAGCGCACTGGCGACGCGAACGAGCTAGCGCGAGGAGCTTCCGTGCCCTCGTCCAGCAGCCGCTCGACGCCGCTCACCAGGGAGGACACCGCGGCGGGCACCATCGTCTTCACTTTCTCCAACGACTAGTCCGCCTTCCACGCAAAGCTGTAGTCATTGCCGCCGAACTCGCCGAACACGAACAGGACCTGCCGAACAGGGCGTGGCAGGAGGCCGGGTCCGACGGGCAGTGCTTCACCTCCTGGAACCACTCCAGCTGCACGAGATGTTGGAGGGCGGGATGCTCCACACGTTGTTGTCCTTGAAGTACTTGAGGTCCAGCGCCGTCGCGCCCATCACCGCGAAGTTGGCTCCCTGGCTGAAGTTGGGTGGCCGAGCAGGGCCGGCACGAGCGGATGCGGCGGCGTGGCCAAGCATGGCGGGCGTGAGCGGTGTGACACGGCGGCGCTAGCGCATGGCGGTGGTCTTTGCCAAGAGCGCGCAAGCCTTAGCGAGCGCGTGCCAAGCAAGCGAAGCCTTGACATGAAAGCAAGAAACCGATGGTTCCTTCCCAACGGTGGTTCCCACCCAACGGTGATACAATCGTTTCTCGGTCCCTTGGGTGGAGAGAGACTGCCGTAATAACTGGCTGCCATATCAGTATTTTGTTTAGGTGACGTCTCTTTTAATATGAATATAAATCATTATTAATGTCTCATTGAGACTGTCCTAATTAGTTTAAGACACTTATCATTCATCAAGATTCTCCAATAGACTGGGTAAATGTAACCGTGAAGCCATTTATAGCTACTATGCTCAAAAAAGCATTCCGATAGCTTGCCTATTTTGTTTTCTATTTTTTCTAGCTGGCTATTCCACCAATCTCGCTCGCCATATTTCCCTAGCAAGTCCTGCTTGCTATCTATGTTTTCCAATTTAGTTAGACTGTTGTAAAACTCTATATTTTAGATGGACTTTCTATTTTACATAATGGCTAAATCTCATAATTTAGCATCTAATTTTACTGAGTTTTTTAGAGTTACTCTAAGGGTATAATATAGGTTGCCATGAGATTTGGAACTGGGTCTATCTGTACACCTAAAATATCCTACTGCTATCGTCTGCCCCCCCCACCCCAAAAACATATATGGAAAAAAGCCACAGTAAAAAAACAACTTCCCCGTTTCCAAAAAAATCCTATACGGCAAAAAAAAAAAAAAAAAAAAAACATATCCGGCAAAAAAAAATCTGTTTCGGTAACAAACTCGTCCACATCGAAAATCATATGCGGCAAAAAAAAAATGTTTCTGAAACAATCTCTTCCGCATAAAAAATTATATAAAGGACTGATTATAGGCTGATAAAATAAATCAAGAACACATTCAAACCGAGCAAAAAATCATATACCGTAAAAAAAACACGCCCGCGCGTGCGCCCTAGCTACAGCCTACGTTGGTGGCGGCGGACACCTGCGACCTGCTGGCTATTGTCGTGCGTAGTTGCGGCGTACACGGGCGTGCGTCTCGCCATGGATGTGGGCGACGCGATACTGTAGTATGTGCTGGCGGCGCTCGCCGTGCGCTCTGCGACGTGCTCGCCTTGTGCTTCGCTTCGCCCCGCGCGCGCCCTAGCTCCAGCCTGTGCCGTCGGCGGTGGGCACCTGCCAACACTTGCCCCGCCCGCCCGCCTATGCGCGTGTGCCCGCGCGTCTGCAGCTGTGCGTCCCACTCGCCTCGTGCACGTGCGGCCGCGCGTATGTAACCCACTCGTTCTCATGCGAGAGCAGGAACAAAGGAACGACGTGCCGTGGCCCGTGGACCGAACGGACAGACCTCTAGCCCGCACGTGACCAACTCCGTTGCATGGTGATTCACCTGATACCCGCACGTAACAGCTTAGCCCATTAGTTCTACCACGTCCACACATAAGAAGGAAAACCAGGATGAATTTAGAAATAGTTTAGGGTTCCAATGCAAAAGTGTTTATTAGATTCTAATAATTTTTGAAAATGTATAATAACAAAACATAGAAATGATAATTAAAAAACGAAACAAATTCTTTTAGGTTTCCCATACATGTCATATGAAATATGCTTTATGAAATAAAATTTTTATATTTCTTAATATGTTTGTCTAAACCACAAGCCATGTGCATTATCGTAGACTTGATAAAAAAATTGTTAATATGTTCGTCTAAACCATAAAACACGTGCATCGTTATACAAATGGATACAAATTCAGGTATATATCTAGTTACAATATTACATTATTATTCCCAAAAAGTACAACTATTGCTATTGCTAATAAATAATAATAATAAAGAAAAAGCTTAACACCACCGCACGCACCGGGCAAGCTCGGGCGAGCGACACCTCCGCGGTCGCAACTCGACCTTTGCCCCTGGCCGCGCCGGCTCCCCGCTCCCCTTCCAGCCTCCTGCCCTCCCAGTCTCCTGCTGTGTGCGGTGGGCTGGTGACTGGCGGGCCCACGACGCCTGATCGACCACCGGGCACGTGACGGCGATGTGCGTGAACTTGTGAATTGTCGGCCTGTTCGTTTCACTAAAATTTAGCTTATGCTGATTTGTTCTGAGGACTGAAAAGTAGTTCAAGCGAACCGGGCCTGTGATCGCGGGTCTACCGACGCCGATGCCCGAGACGCACTCCCGCCGCCTCGCCGACAGCCGGGCCTGTTGCCCCTCGCGAGATGACGACCATGGCGCCAGAATCGGGAGGATGGGAGGTAAGAGGTGACGAAAACCGAGTCTTTGCCTAGCCAAGTCTGGCCACGAGAAAACGAGATGGCAATCCGTGTCTAGCTAGCCATGTCAAGGAGTGGTCGGTGGCTGAGTTGGGCCTGATTAAAGGCTCTATATAGGAAACTAAGGGTGTGATTGGTTGCACGCATGAGGCCATCCTGAACACCATTCCAGTACCGCTCGGTGCACTTGGTCATGTTTGGATGCCTGCCTCGCATCCTTTCCCGGCTCCATCTCATTCATCTTCACCCCTCCGTCCCACATGGATCCGTCTTCTTGATTCCCACTTTCCTCGCGATGTAAGACGACGTGATGCACCCATGATACAGAGGCCCATGTGTCATAGGGCCTGTTCGCTGGGTTGAATCTGGAGGAATCTAGAAAAATTTGTGAGAGAGTGAACAGTATTTTAAGCTATAAACAGTGATTTTTCAGCTGACTTTCATGTCAGCCGAACAGACCCATACACTCGAAATTTCCATCAATACATACAACTAAACAAGATCTCATATCGTACTGAACCAACAATAAAAACTCTCAAATATTATTGGATGCACAGTTTAATCATGCATCTCACCGTCTGAACCGGCCCTTCATCCACTCTTGGTCACAGAGCAACCAATCAACCGCAGTGCTTTCCTGCCCCGTAACTCTGACAGCATTTTTTGACTTTTCTTTTTGGCCTAGGGCTTTGTTCTTCTGGGACGCCGCCGCCACCCTCCAAGGCTCCCCCACATGGTCGCCGCCTGCCTCCGCCTCCTCCGCCGCATCCCTCATCCCCTTCTCCAGCCCGCCGCAGCCACTCACTGCCTCTTCCCAGCCCCCGTTGCCAAGGCTGCTCTGGTCACGCAGTCGTGCCCATCCGGCGCCGACCGCGTCGAAGGACCGTTCAGCACCCTCCGCCCCGGTGAGTGTCAATTCCATCCCGGCGAGAACACGGAACCCTGTTGCTAATGGCAATTTGCTTAATCACGGTCAGAGTTCTCATTAGCGTTCAATGCTGTGTTTACTTCTTAATTTGAAATGAGAAGTTTATAGTTGTAATTGGCTAGCTTGTGGCCATGATTGGGGGTGATATGCTTTTTTCGTTTGTCCCCAAAACTCAGGATTTTTGCTTGCTTTTAGATGGCAGTTGTTTTCTCAGATAGATAGTTTTGGCATCGGACCATAAAAAACATCTTTCATTTCTGCGATGTGATATAACATTTTTCAATTTCATGGACTGTGTTCTCAAATCAAACATAGCTATTGCTTGTTCTTTGCAAATTCATAACTGGGTTGCTGAAAGCAGTAATGAATCGAACTTTTCCCCTACTACCTCTGAACAATGCCCTGGTTGTTCTAAATTTTCCAGTGCAATTTAGAGTGATACTGCTTCAGTTTCCCATTACAATTTGCTCATAAAAAGCGTACGTTTTTGCCTTAGGTTTTGCAAGTAATGGTAACTTCAAACATCAATGGCATCACAAGTTGGGTTCATCAGTTGGTGCTGTATTGATTGGACACGCAGGTATGTTTTCTGTACCACTTCTGGTTACATATTTTATTATTTTGTATTTCATGTGTCGCTCTTCAAGTTTGTGCATTCTGATTGTGCCCCACATGCACAGTGCTTGTATCACAATTCCAAAAGTTTGAGTACAAGGTATTTGTTGATGAGGACAGTTGACTTGTGTCAGTTATTTTATTGTGTAGCTAGGGTCTGTTTGTTTGAGCCAAAGCTTTTGGAATTTTGTGGCTGCCGGTAAAAGCCCTCTTTTGAAATTGTCTTTGTGGATAAGCTTTTGGATGAGTGAAATGTATAATAAACGTAGTGCCCCTCAAAACATCATCACTGGAAGCTAGCAAATGCCCCTGAAAGCAAAAAGGATGGCGTATAACGCGTGGGATGTATTGCATTGAGTCTCTTTAGCGGAATAAATAGAGTACAAAGACTTTGGGGGCAAAACACATCTCTGGATACATATGGTAATACAGGATTACAATCTTAACCACCAAATATACTCTACATTCCTCGCAGTCGTAGCAGGAGTATCGCTGATGGTTATACCGGAGAAGAAGTCAAAGACTAACATCCCCTGCAGTCATAGAGGGTGTTTGGCAGATCTCTGCGCAGATCTAGATCCTAAAAAACTGATTTGCTCCTAATTTTTCTAGCCAAACACCCCAGCTCCACGAACTCTAGATTTGCCAAAAACTTGGATCTAGCTCTCAGATCCACCAAATCCATGGAGCACCTCATGGGGTGCTCTGAAAACTCTAATTTCGTGGAGTTGGTGAAAATTACCCACCACTGCCATCCGTCACACAAACATACCTGTTCGATTTCTTTTTTTCCACCTCTTCCTCCCGTCACCACGAGTGCCGTCGTAGCCCGCCACCGCCCCTCCCCCGCCCGTCGTGGACCTGCATCCGGCGCTGTTGTCGACTCCTTCATTGGGCAGCAGTATAATAGGAAGAAGAAAAGGTCGGCTGCCTCTAGTGGCTAGAATTAGCCCAAGCTAGCTAATAATAGAACATGCAGGAATAATAGGAATACCACAGCCGCTCATGTGGGTGTTATAACCACAGGTGCGGCTGGGGATTAGATTAGGGTAGGCAGAGAAGAAGAGTCCTCTTGTTTAGAGCCTCCCAGGGAGGGCGAACTAGCTCTTCTGCTGCTGCCATTGCTAGGATTAGCTACTGTAATTTCCCTTCCAGTTCATCAATAGAGTACCCAGATTACTAGCCATATTAGGCGTCGCCGCCCCCTCCCCTGTCGGTCGCGGCCCCTCTCCACCGATGCCGTTGCCATGTGTGGCACCTCCGGCCTACAACCGACGCCCCTCCCCAGCGCCCCTCCTGGCGGTGGCCCCTTCCCAGCACCCCTCCCTCGCCAGTCCTGTCCGTGCGTGTCCCCTCCCAGTGCCGCATGGGAATGCCCGCCATGGCCGCATCGGGAGAAAGGAAGATGTGTGTGTTTTTTTTGGTCCCTGTCCATCTCAGAGTTGGAGCTCTACCAAATAGTTTGGTGGGAGCTCAGCTCCGCCGTAGAGCTGCTCCATGGTGGAGCACCTGCTCTGGAGCTGTGTTTTCACTTTTCAGAGCTGGAGCCCTGCCAAACAACCCATAGTGACGTCGCAACGCAGATGCTGAGCTTGGAGACCGATGAGAAGCCCATGCGGACGATAGACCTTTCTGTCACTGAAATAGCTGAAATAGCTTGATGAGGGCCGGTAGTATGGTAGGCGCCATCCCGGATAGCCGGCCACCGGAAAGATGGTTTAATCATGAGTGTCGTCATTAATGCCTAGGAGGGCACACAACGTCAACCTCGTCCTTGGGAGAGTCAACGATCGAGCGTCGAGGGATCGGTAGATAGGGCAACACAATCCTGATCTCCGATTGGAAAGAAAGAAAACACAGCAGCAGATCTGATGATGGCCATGGGCCTAGGTGACAGTTGAATAGTCCGGCATCCAATGGCGATGATGTGATGATTGTCCGCCCCCTACAACGACATCCTAGTGTCCCCAAGGGCCTCCTTCTTGGCCAGCGGCAGCAGCGGCACTAGGGAGAGGGGAGGTGGATCAATGAGTAATGCAGCAGTCCATCAATGCCCACGGCGAGCCACCCTGACGATCTATCGCTGCTCGACACTAGGGCCAAAACTATCCTACAAGGGTGCTGGCCCTGGTGATCTCCCTGGGGGCAGCGTGGCAGCAGCAGTGCAAGCCTCGGCTTAGGATCAAAACCATAAACTTGTGATACCATGAGGGCAGGAAGGATTGTGTATAATGTGTGGGATGTATTGCATTGAGCCTCTTGAATGGTATATATAGAGCATAGTTGTTAAGGCGTCGCTATACCGACGCCATATCGTCGCCATATCGCCGTGGCGTTTTTCCGGCTCTCGCCACGGCGACGCCACGGCTCCGGCGTGTATGGCGTCCGCCATAGCGCCGTGGCGCCCCCGTGGCGCCGATTTGGCGTCTGTGGCGCCTTTGTGCGTTGTGGCGGGCATAATAGACGGTGAGGCCGTGAGGGTACTGTAGGGCGTCTGTGGCGTCGTGCAGTCAGCCAGTCAATGGAGGAGGGGGGGAGGAGAGGTGCGACGTAGGGTCGCCGACGGCCGGTGTGAGGGGGCGAGGCGAAGGCGCCAGTGATGGCGAGAGGCGGGAGGGAGGCCAGCGCGCCGCCGAAGCCGAGCTGGGGACCCGCCCCGCCGTCGTGAGCCCGAAACAGCGCCGCCTCCGTTGCCTTCATCTTGAAAGCGCGAGTGGGGGACGGAGCAGAAGATGGGCGTCGCCTTCATGCCGAGCGAGAGGGGAGGAGAGAGAAGATGGAGCGGCGGCTGCTGAGGAAGATAAGAAACGGCATGGCTATCAGTGTGTGTGCCTTAGTGCTAGGGTAAAGACTATGCGGCGGTGCGTGGGCTTTTTTTTTAGATGGGCCACTAAATAAAAGCCCATACCATCTCTTTTCTTTTTCATTTCTTTTTTCTTTCTTACATATTTTGACAAATTAGCACATAATCTATATATTTATATATCTACAATAACATATTTACTGCGATTTAAGTGAAGCCACATCGATCTCCATTATCCTCTATTGATCCCCATGTACTTGTAATTAAAATTCCTTGCTACATTTACATTGCTATTTTGATTTGCTAATATTGTAGACTATACCTTTTAAGCTACATTTGCATTACCATTTGTCAATATAATTTCCTAATATCATAGACTATAATGTATGTATTCGCCACGCCGATGTGTGTATGTAAATGCATACATGTGCGCTTTAGACATTTGTAAAAGGTGTGAAGGTGGTGGCTCGCCGCGCCTCGCCACGCCGCCGTAAAAACTATGATATAGAGTAAAGAGACTTGGGGGGGAGGGGGTGTAAGACACCTCCATGGATACATATAGCAATACCAGATTACAATCCTAACTACCAATACAAAATATAATAACAGCCCCTCCAGACCATCTTTGGGCTTTTAGAACAAACATAACTTTTTGCAGCCAGAGCCACCTTCGTGGCCTCCAGAAGCCAACTAAAGGATAAAACAAACAGGAGTGTACTAGGAATTTCAACGTGAATTTGGCACCCAGTCGACATAACAAAATTAAGGCACATCTTGTATCTTTGCTAGGACACCAAAATCTTGCTTGGATTAATCAATGAAACAATATGATACCCTTCGCCAAGCTATATTCACCATACTAAGCTTCACAGCTTCTCCGATTATTATTATTTTTCTTTTTGTTGTCACTTTATAAAACTTGTTTGACCATTGGGTCAGTCTTTCCCATTTGTTAACTCTGTTATTACCTATGTACATGTATGACAACCTTACACTTCCATAAGTTGACTTACCTGCATACATTCCACTTGGTGTTTTGATGTTTTAAAGAACATTACTATTTTAGTTTAAGGATATTATAAAGTTAATTTCATACTATTGTTTGCAGTACTAAATTAATCTTATTGCAGCCTTTTTTCTTGGTTTGAGCAACGGCTCTGCATTTGCCCAGGAAGACTCAGTTAGCCCAGCTGCAGCTAGTGAGCATGCTGAGGGAAATGCTGCTGGTTTACAACGGATTGAAGATGGATCAGTGGTCTCAAATGAACACACGGTCAAATGGAGAATTTACACAGATAATGGGCGGGAGTTTTTCCAGAAAGCAAGTAACACATTATCCCTAGCTTGATTTCAGATAACTTTTGGGATCTGTGATGTTTCTGAGAGAACCTACTTTTTTATAGGTTGTGCATTTTTTTTTTCTGAAATTGTTTTACATATGAACAATGCAGAAGTCAAACTATTGAACACTACCCTAGTTTTCCTGTACTCGTCTGGTTTTCTGAACCTTGTCAGTGCATGTTTTGTGTTGGAAACTAAGGGTATGCCTTCAGTTCCACCATTAGGTCATCTGCTGTTGTGATATCACTGTAATATCAAGTCATCTACCATATTGCTATGGACAATTATTTATATAAAGCATCAGTTTAGTAATTTTTAATATGTAAATATTACACAACTTATGCATCTACGAACTTGTGACACGGTATGCGAAGTTCACATTCGTATTTACCTTTTTATCTCTGCAAATGAACTCCAAATTTCGTTTGCTATACTTGCTACAGATTTCATAGGGCCAGCGAGACATTTTTAAGACCGTTCCATTGAAAGAACTGTTATGAACTGCATTTCCCTTGTTTCACTACTTTTTTTTCCCCACACCGGTAAAGACCGAATTTCATTACCAAAGCAACGAAATTACAGAGTTTTAGCAAATAGCAGGAACGTAAACGAAAGCGTGAAACAAAACCCAGCACGTCCATGAAACTGATCACCGAGGGATCAATCCCATGAACGAAGACTACCGCCACGACTAAGACGAAACACAACGACAACCAAAACTTGATGTTATTATATTGTCAATATAATAACATCAAGTTCGTAGTTCACTACCTACATAGTTATTATATTGGAATTGATCAATGAAATAAAACTTGGGCTATATTTCTGTAATCAAACACCTTGTGAGAGGTTGAGGAAATAAAAGTTATGATTTTGATTTTCACATTGTCTGTCTATTTTGTAGAGACAATTGGATGAGGCTGAGAAGTTATTCCAGGCAGCCCTACTAGAAGCTAAGGAAGGATTTGGACTTAGAGATCCACATGTCGCGTCAGCCCTTAACAATCTGGTAATTGTTAGTTTTATTATGTTCTGAAAACAGAAGTGCACTGTGCTGATATTAATCTTTCAGGCTGATCTGCAGTATTTATGTTGAATCCTTAATTAAGACGTCTGATATTATATTATTGTTCATTTACCTGACAGATTTGACTCTGTTATAAAAAAAACATGATTCAGCTGATTTTGATAATTTTTCTGAGTTTATATGTGCTTTACCATAGTTCTGTTTTCAATTTGTATAACGAGTTTCATTATTATTTTTCTCTCATCTGCTGTTCTATGTTCAATCAAGCCCTTGGAGTACTGTTCTATTCTGCCAGCCTTTATTTTGCCCACTGCATCATATGGGTCACACAATTGGGCAAGCTTGCAAGCTTACAAGTTTGAATTATGAGTTTAACTGGATTTGTTTGCTGGTCATAAACTGCTCTTATCATTAGTCTTGGGTAACCTTTTTTCTTCCTGAACTTTGCAGGCAGAGTTTTATAGGTTAAATAAAGAGTATGAGAAAGCTGAACTACTATATTTGGAAGCAATTGAGATCCTGGAGGAATCATTTGGATCTGATGATATACGGTACACTACAGACTTCATTTTTTTTCTGTGACATCATGCAGAGTGTCAATTCATTGTAGATAAGCAGTGTTTGTTTCAAGTTGTAAGTGTCAATTTTTCTGGATTCAGAGTTTACAGTTTACAGAAGGGCGGGCCTGGTGCAAGCGGTAGAGTCTTACCGCCTATGACCGGAAGGTCCCGGGTTCGAGTCGCGGTCTCCTCGCATTGCACAAGCGAGGGTAAGGCTTGCCACTGACACCCTTCTCCAGACCCCGCACAGAGCGGGAGCTCTCTGCACTTGGTACGCCCTTTATAGTTTACAGTTTACACCACTGTAGCCAGAGTTTACCAACTGCTGTAGTACTACTCTACTTGATTGCAAGCAATAATCTGGTCTGATCAGCGAGAGTATTTGATTTGGTTACCACTTAGATATGTTTGAGCTGTCAACTATCATGGACTATTATGTTATTTGGTTACTGGTACCTGGTAAAAATTGAGGAACCCAAGAGGAAATAGACTGGGATTAGCAAGGAATTGAGGGGAGGCAAGCAGAAACATGGAAGCAGGAAGATGAACCCTGAATGTTCTGTTTGATGATTTGCTCTGATCCTGCTTGATGCTTTTCTAGCTCTCCCCTTCTCCTGAGGGGTACATGGCAGCCTGCCCCAGGGACATTATATGACATGCACCCTACCAAAAAAGGTGTACTAAGTTTGATTACAGAAAATATAGTGTGTTTGGTTACAGAAATATAGTCCAGACATAGAAGTTGTAGGGGTACTATTTGTTAGCCGTAGAGTAGGTTCAATACATACTTACAAAAGTGTACTGGAGCATAGTGCTATTACAGTTGTAGCCCTGTTGCACACACAAGTGGACTGGAGCACAGTGCCATAGAAGTTATAGGTTTGACAAACTTATAACATTTTAGCACGATAGCCATCACATTCCAAATGCAGAGTTTCAGGGACAAAGCAGCAGATGTAAGGCGTTGTCTACAAGCCTACAGGAAGAATGCTTGTTTCTAAATCAATTTCCTATCTATCTCAATGTGTTTCTATGCTTGATCATGTGTCGAAACACCAAATACATTGTATCCTAAATTTGGCCATTCATCAAATTTATATATTTTTTAATGTAGGGTTGGAACAGCTGTGCATAGTCTTGGAATATGCTATCATCTTCAACTCAAGCTTGCTCAAGCCCAGACATGTTATGAGGTAACCTTTTGTTGCCTCATGAGTTATTCTTCTTTGTTCAGCCTTTATAGTTTCTTCTGTAATTTTGCTATGCAAGTATGCAACACAGTTCGAAGAGTTTCTTTTTTTCTTTTTTTCTTTTTTTGGTGAATATCATTAAACAGATTGCAGGCAATAGTTTGTAGAAATGGCAATATCTGATACCTTTGGGAATCAGGCATATAAACTAAGAAATTTGTAAATCTATGCAAAATTTTCCATGCTAATACTCTGTTTAAGCTGCAGGTGAGTGTACAAAATATTTGAATGGACATTTTTGTATGTAACTTCTTGTTGGAGCCATGCTAGTCCTGACTATATGCATCATTATCATGATACACAAAGAATGAAATTTAGTAACGAAGTCACAGTAGGGGAGACCCGTACTATATTTTCCTCACGAAGTTGTGAAAGGCTAAATGAACTGTTTTCATTGTAGCATTTCTACCTTTTGTGTCAACTTCTGCTATGCTTTCTGCACTTAATTTTTTCATTCGAAGTTTTGAACTTACTTCTTATACCCTTTTCTGTCTCTGTTGTTTCCCCCCTTTTTGCAGCGTGCTTTGAAGGTACCACACCTCAACTTTTTGTGCTCTTGCTTATTTATGTTTAACATTTATTCTCGAAATTTTGTACCTCTGTGTCATAAATTGATACCAATATGATGCTCCACAATAACAATATTTGAGTTATGATCATCCTACTTGACCATACTTATAATTGCCCATTTTGATTGATCGCATACAAATAGGCTAAATACAATCTATCAGAACTATACGAATATATGTTGTCATCTTTCATCTTCTGTCACTGTACTTGACCATACTTATAATTGTCCATTTTGATTGATCACATACAAATAGGCTAAATACAATCTATCAGAACTATACGAATATATGTTGTCATCTTTCATCTTCTGTCACTGTGCTGCCTACACCTGTACCCATTCAATGAAAGCATCAAAGCATAATAGCAAAACAACGGGAATGTAAATATGCTCGTGATTCACTTTTTGAAGTATGCAATTTATCCTTTTTTAATTGCCATCTGTAGATAAAAGGACGTGTTATGGGGGTTGGTCACCAAGAGTATGCAGGTACAATGTACCTTCTAGCCAAGGTACTAGTGCTGTTTTGCTCTTAAACTTACTGTTGTGTTTTTTAGATTAATGATTCTTATGTGATATATCACCTTCCCCAACAGAGGTATTCAACAACCATACTGCTGCTGCCTTTCTGCTGTTTAAGTTATTGTTTTCTGGATTCTGATCTCTTGTCAATAATCTTTCTCCTGAAATCACTATCTCATACATGCGTAAGAACCTAGCTGGATACAGCAGCAGCAGCTGTTTGCACATGCAGCAGTGGCACTGTGCCAGCACTTTAATATAGTTTGTTAACTGTTTACTTGTAGTTTGTTGATATCTCTTATGTTTTGTTTGAGTATCTTCTATCTTTAGGCTATAATTCATCTATTCATCTATAGGACATAATAAAGCCTTTGTACCAACATGATTATTCTAATAACAATTATGTTTTTTTGCTAATCAAGAAGAACTATGGATATATTATGGCCACAGTTATATTTGTTATTAACCTTGGGATCTTAGAAGAATGACACTTCATTAGTGGAGATAGCAATATATATAGAGAACCTCATGGGGCCTATAGTATATGGGCTTTGATACACTTTATTAACAACACCTCACACCCCCTGCCCGCCCGTGTTCGAACTCAAGTTGGAAGTGGAGAATCTGAAGCGTTGAGTTTGCTTAAGTGAAGCCGACGCTAGTCTCAAGTTTGTGCTTAGTTCGGAGGGCGCATATTGTGGAGTAATGGTTTTCTAATGACAATGAGACCGAGTGATAAAGAACTATAATTCCTGTTTTATCACAGAGAAGAGGTGTAGAGGCATCACAAGAAATGCCAAAATCACTCAACAACCATTGAAGCCATACAATCTTAGAAGTAGTAGTAGCGCAAGCACTTGAAGTTCTGCCTTTATACAAGAATGAGATACAATTGCTTGCTGCTTCGACTTCATGCAAGAGAGAAGCCAAGAAAAGTGCAGTATCCTATGATGGAATGAGTATCCTGTGATGGAACGACGATTTGTTGGGTTACTCGCCCAAGTGGAGTCCGAGTACGCATAAAGCTAAAGTTGAACCCAGCGAGCATCCCCACAACGCGCTTGGCCGGGCGGCTTCGCGGAGGCCTCATGAGGCCACCGCCCCGCTTGCTGCGCCGTGGCCTCCCGTGTGCCTCCACAGCGACCTCCGCGCGCCTGCGCCTCCACCACGGGCTCTGGCGCCTTTGTGCGCAGCGTGGTTCGGGTGGCCGGCGTCAGCGCATGGCGCAAGGCGCTGCGCCTAGACACGGCCTGCGTGCCTCTCCCCTACCCATGTGCGCTAGCCTGTTAAGCAAGTATGAGGCCGGTCTGCACCTCGTCGCTGCTGCTGATTCCTCGTCGCCGCTGTCCCTTCCCGCCGGGACTTTTGCTGGCGTTGAGCTCCCCTCCATGGCTCGGCAGGTTTGCTCCCCTGACGCCCTCGAATTTGAGCAGGACCCTGCTCTTGCGGAGTTAGTCAAGGACTGGGATTTCTCTCCAGGTAAGAGATTCCAAGCTGAAGTTCTTCACAAGTTCTCTTCATCAGTGCATCACCCATCCTCGTCTCTGGATGGCTCCTTATTCATGCTTGTGGTTTTCCGGAGATACCTCTTTCGTTTGACTGAAGAGTCAGTTCATAGTTTTTACGGCGGCGTGGCGAGGCGCGGCGAGCCACCACCTTCACACCTTTACAGCGTCTATGGCGCGCGGCGTGGCGACGCCATACACACATCGGCGTGGCGAATACATACATTATAGTCTATGATATTAGGAAATTATATTGACAAATGGTAATGCAAATGTAGCTTAAAAGGTATAGTCTACAATATTAGCAAATCAAAATAGCAATGTAAATGTAGCAAGGAATTTTAATTACAAGTACATGGGGATCAATAGAGGATAATGGAGATCGATGTGGCTTCACGAAATCGCAGGTAAATATGTTATTGTAGATATATAAATATATATATTATGTGCTAATTTGTCAAAATATGTAAGAAAGAAAAAGAAATGAAAAGAAAAGAGATGGTATGGGCTTTTATTTAGTGGCCCATCTAAAAAAAGCCCACGCACCGCCAAGATATTCTTTACCCTAGCACTAAGGCACACACTGACGACGATAGCCGCCGTTTCTTATCTTCCTCGCAGCGCCGCCGCTCCATCTTCTGCTCCCTCCCCCACTTGCGCTCGGCATGAAGGCGACGCTCCATCTTCTGCTCCGTCCCCCACTCGCGCTCGGCATGAAGGCGGCGGAGACGGAGGCGCTTCGAGCTCGGGCTCTCGGCGGACGGCAAGGCAGTCCCAAGCTCGGCGGCGGCGCGCGGCGGCTCCTCCTCCCGCCTCTCGCTAGTCACTGGCACCCTCGCCTCCGTCCTCCCGACACCATTTGGCGATCTTTGCGTCGCACCTCCTCTCCCTCCCGCCTCCATTGGACCGTCGACGGCCAAGACGGCCCCTGGTGTACCCTCACGGCCTCACCGTCTATTGCGCCCGCCTTCCACAGGCAAGCACAAAAGCGCCAGGGACGCCAAATCGGCGCCGCGGGGACGCCACGGCGCTATGGCGGACGCCATACACGCCGTCGCCGTGGCGAGAGCCGGAAAAACGCCACGGCGATATGGCGACGATATGGCGTCGGTATAGCGACGCCTTAACAACTATGAGTCAGTTGGTATGGCTCTTCATTGTTGCCTGGGTGGCTCTCCTGCTGGATTTAGTGTTTCCTATCTGCAAGATCGACATTTTCGCTTTTCCGTTGCCTCGAAGCATGTGGGTTTGTTGGTTCGTGCTCTCAAGAGGATTACCATTGATCACTTTGACATCTACTTCCACATGTGGCGTGATGGGGGTGAAAACTGGGAACTCCAACAGAAAAAATGGGGAAAAGAAGAGAAGGGCTGGTCTACCGTGATCGCCATAAAAACAAATGCAAGATGTCTTCCAAAAGAGTTTCTTTCCATAAAAAGCTTACTTAAGATCAGTGTTCGCCTAAACGGCCTAAACGGGCGATTAAACGGCCACTAAACGGTAAACGGTGGTAAACTGTTTGGTTTAGGGGGTAAACGGAAATTAAACGGTTGACCGTTTAAACGGTCAAAAAACGGGAAAAACGGCTTAAACGGAACAGAGATAAACAGTATTTAACGGGCTAAACAGCTGCTTAAACGGCTGTTTAGGCGAACACGAGGTAAATCTAGTTCAGTTTTGTATGGATAAATTTGTATACTTAAGTTTATTATATTTATAAATGTGTACACTTGATATGTACTTGCATAAATATCTATATTTGGTTCTTTTCACATGCATAAATACATATACATACCAAAATAATTGATTTTTACTCGGATAAATATGTATAAATGCTAGAATACTTGATTTTTTACATGCACATATATAATTATATGTATTTTTTTTAAAAGTACAAAACCGTTTAGACCGTTTAACTTCGTTTAAACACCGTGTAAACAGCCTAAATGCTAAACTAAGGGCGACTGTGTAAAGACCGTTTACCGTTTAGGAAAACATTGCTTAAGATGCTCCGGTTCATAAATCTCGTTCCAGGGAGCTTTCTTCGGTGATCAAGATTGTTGCTATCTTCTGCCCTGTTATGAAAGACTCCTGCAATGTTTTTGGGAAAGCTTCAGTTTCTTGGGATGCTCCTGTCAAGCATGCCTGCTCCTCCTGCTCTCCAACAGCTAGACTGACACTGACTGATGTCCCAATCTAGGAGGGTTTTCAAAATCTCAAAAGAGATCTCCATGTTAGCCTCCAACACCCAGCCGTCAGTAAGGTTTAATGATGGGCCGCCTCCCCAAGGTGAACGCTTCAGTTTTTTCCCAAGTCATGCAACCCTCCTTTGTTAAAGATTGCTTGGGGGAGACTGCTGTATTTACTGCTTCAATTATGGTCATCGGGCTTGAAACTGTGTCAAGAGATGATTAGACCTCAAGCGTAATTGGGCCATTAAGCCCAGCAAACACCCGTTGGGTGAAGAGCACGGTGGACAAGGGAGAACAAATTACATTCAATGGTCCCTTGGGCCCAATGCACCTGATGACGCCTTGCCTTCTATGCTCAGCTCCCAAGACTCGACTCCCTGTATTCCCTCTAGTAGTCAAGAGGTCATGGAAGAGGATCAAGGTTCTGATGTGATGGTTGATGCTGCTTCATCCCCTGCTGCCCCTGCCCTTTTCCAGCCTGGGCAGAGCAATGAAAAGGAAATCACTATTGACAAGCAGCCTGACGAGAAAGAAAACTTAGTGGTTGAACATACTGGAATTCAACAGAACCAAGCTCTCGCAATCAGCAACTCTCCAATGCCTATTATGATCAATAACATGTTAGAAGAGCAAAGGGATTGTCAGCAAAGAGAGGCAATCTCTGGCTTTCTTGCTGCTGGTTTGAGGCAGATATTCAATGGCCAGATTGCTCTAGGCACCACAGGAACTCTGAGGAATCTGCCCATCCCAAGCTCTCTTTCCCTGGGAATCAACTCTCTCAACATCATTCTGAACTTCCTTGATCAGAACACTGCTGCTACTATATCTGTTCTCTCTAGCACTTTGCAGATAACCCAAATTCCTGAAACTCATAAGTCTTTACCAAGTCTTCAACCTCAGCCTGTTGATCTCTACACAAGAAGTGCTCCCATAACTAGAGTCTATTACAGGATAAAGTTTGAGGGCAAGGCTAAGGGACTCGAGAAGACGACTATTAGAGTGGAACCTTCTTCACAACATGAGGAAAACATCTTCCCTGCTTCCCCTGAAGAATATGTACAAGCTCACTCAACTGACAATGCCAGTATGGACAAGGGCAAAGATAATGTGGCAAGGAAAAGGAAATTTTGCACTCCTGTTTCCACCCAGATGCTCAGAAGAAGCCCAAGGTTCATTGAAAAGCTTAATGGGTATAAACCTGCTGTGATTTCTTCAAAGCAGACAACAAACAGAAACAAAACCAAGGGCAAGAAGATCAAACCACAAACTGATCTTTTGGGTGACATTCTTCTCTAACACCTGTCAGACCAATGAATTCCCTGGGCTCTCTATTATTCATAAATATAACAGTGTTGGTGCTACCTTCCCTAGAATACCTATTGCTGAAATTCAGAGGGTGGCAACAGAAATTTGCCGCACCGCTCCTTCGGAGGTGATGACAGAGTTGCTCCTTACATCAAGGCCTGAAGACGAAGCAGGTCTAAGTAGGAGTGCTGAAATCCAGTAACAACAGCAACAATAGAAGTCCCAACAGATCCTGGAATATTGTAAACTGGAACATTAGAGGGGTAAACTCTGAAGACAAATGTAATGCCTGCATCCAGGAAACCAAAAGGGAGCATTTTGATCATTCCTATATCAAAAAGCTGGCTCCAAAACGCTTCAATCAGTTTGCTTTCTCCCCCTTGGCTGGAATGGCTCTATCTTCTCTGGTCAAGGTCAAATAAACAAATTCAATGTAACAGTATGCTTTTACCTCATCTCATAGTGGGCAAACCTGGACTCTCTCTTCTATCTATGGTCCCTGCCATGGACCTGATAGAGACACTTTTGTTCAATGGCTCAATGATCTACAGCTCAATGCAGAGGAAAACTGGATGTTGGCTGGTGATTTCAACTTCTATAGAGCTATCTCATAGAAATAGAGATGGGGGTAATATGAATGACATAACAATTTTCAATGAAATTATCAGCAATCTGGGCTTAATGGAGATCCCTGTCAAAGCAAGCAATTTTACTTGGAGTAACATGCAAAGTCTCCCCCTTGAACAAATTGATTGGGTTTTTACCACTCCCAACTGGACTTGTGATTTTCCCAAACACCCTCCTTCCTATGGCCAGGCTCACTCCTGACCATATCCCTTGCAAGGTTCAGATTGGCACCTCTATTCCCAAAGCACAGATTTTCAGGTTTCAAAATTTTTGGGTTGAATATCAAGGCTTCTATGACTTAGTAAAATATGTTTGGAGCACCAATATCTTGGCTACTAATAGTGCAACCAGAATCACTACCAAATTTAAACTCCTAAGAGCTGCTTTAAAAAAGTGGAGTAGAAGTCTCTCTAATCTCAAATGCTAGATAAAAGATTGTAACTCCACTCTGGAAGTCTTGGATTCACTGGAAGAACAAAGGCCTCTGTTTGTTCAAGAATACAACTTCAGGAAAACCCTAAAGAATCATATACTCATGCTTCTCAAACATCAAAAGGATACTAGGAAAACAAGATATACTATCAGATGGACTAAATTCGGTGATGAAAGCACAATATTTTTTTTTTCGTGTCGTTGCTACAGAAAGATACAGGCTCAACACCATCACCTCACTTGAAACTGAAGAAGGCAGATCAGTCTATGAACACAGTGAAAAGGCTTCTTTGCTTCTTGAAGAGTACAATCATAGGATGGGAAGCACCACCAACCCTACCATGCTCTTTGACCTGACCCAGCTTGTTCAAACTAACTGGTGATAGCCTTGATGAAATGTCCAGGCCTTTCAGCATCGAGGATATTGATTCTGTCATCAAGCAAATGGCTGCAGATAAAGCTCCAGGACCTGATGGTTTTAATGGGGTTTTCCTGAAAAGTTGCTGGGAGATAGTAAAAAAGGACTTCTATAACCTGTGCTTTGATTTCTTTAATGGCTACTTGGATCTGCAGTCCATAAATAATTCCCACATTACCCTGATCCCCAAGACAAACAACCCTACTACTACTATTAATGACCAGGCACTTTATGTATTTAATAACTATGAATTAAAATTGATCTCTTCTAAGTCTGAAGTTGGGTTTGGTCCCATAATCGAACTTATTTTATGCTCTTAGGTGCTCAGTCTACAAGGAAAAAGAAAAAATGCAGAATGCCTTGCTGAAGAGTCTATTAGAATACTTGAGGTATGTTTACCATTTCAGTTTGTAGGTTTGAATCCACCAATTGTGCATGCATTCCATGAAGATTATGTCATTGACTTAGGAAGCTGGGCTTGGCGATTCACCAACATGTATACAAAGAATGAAGTATCTCTCTAGAGTAAGCACCTATTCCGAAATTTGGCACGAGAAGTTATGTATTTATATTTTTTGGCATCAATAAGTTATTCATGTGTAGAAACTATTTGCCATATTTAGATTCAAACTATCAAATGCTTGACAGTTTACAACTGAGGTCCTGTTCGCTTTGCTGAAAAGCCATGGTTGAAAGTACTGTTCGCTGATTTGTTGTGAGAGAAAAACACTGTTCGTTCGCTGAAATAGTACGGCTCATAAGACAAGCGAACAGGGCCTGAAGTGTCACTAAAATATTATATATGTTGTAGAAATAGAAACAACATAGTGGAAACTCAATCTGATAGGTTTTATGCATCCAAACAGGATGCTTGAGCCCCCAAAATAATAGGTCTATACTTATCTTTGTATCATTTTATGGTTCACATGGAAGCCTTCGTTCAATAGATTTAGCCTGTTTATGGACGATTAATTTAAAGGAAATGATTTTTTTCTGGAGGCAGTGGTTTGGAACTGGAAAACTGAATGCAGTGCCTAAATGTGAGCTCACAAGTTTATAGGCAGCTGGAAATCTATGAATGTCAATGGATTTGGCATGTTTTGAAATCTTGTTTTGGACTTAAATTAAGGTGTATTTGAAAGCATTCTTAACAAATGATAACTAGTTTTATAGAGATAATAGAAATAATTGACACAAATACCCTTGCGTGTTTAGTTGCCATGGTATAGAAAAATCCAATGCCAATTGAACATAAAAAATAATCTATGAAAAACATTTGTTTTCTCTGAATTGATATGATATGATCTGTCTCACTTAAAGGATTTTCAATGTTAATGTTTGGTGGTCCTAGCAGGTTAGTGCAGGTCAACTGCAGTAGTTTTCTTTTATTTATGTTTGAGGAATTATGTTTGTAATTTGATATTTTTTTCTTGATCTGAATTGTGGTTTGTTACTTCATTGCAGGAGTTAATAAAATCGAAACGATTTGCTGAAGCTGAAATCTGGCAAAGGAAGATATTACATGTTCTGGAGCTTTCAAAGGCATGGCAATATATACACTTTTATTTACTGTTTGTTCAACACTCCCCTTGTGACATCACCATTTAGTATGACGATGATCTGGAACATGGTGCATGCCTTAAATTGTTGCTTGCTGATTTTTCTGGCTTTTGCACTATCCATGCTTCTGAACACAATATTTTCACTTTGTTGTGTCCATTTGTTAATGTCTGGGGGGCAAGATTAATCGAAATTCTGCAAAGCCTATGCTTGCATGCACATCACCCATCTATTATGTTTATTCAAGTGCCTTGGATTTTGAGGTCAAAGTTTTCAGCTCTTACCCTTCTATTTGCATATCCAGGATGATAGCAATGTAGTTATCAGAACCAAAGGGGTCATTGAACTTCCCAAACGCTTTACCAACTCACTTGTCGAACTGAATGATCTCTGGTTAGCCAGTGGTTGATATTAATATAATATTTGTTCCTAAACTTAAATCTGCACTCTATTTTCCATACCAGAACTGCATAATCATAATTCAGCATGCTGTATTATGGCATAAGGATTCTAACTTCAGCAGTTAACAATGTAAAGTCTGGGCTTTTGTGAAGCACATGCTAGTTCATCGCATTCCTTTTGGCTTTTGCAAAGAAGTTTACTGCAAAAATGAGCCTTGTACAGAATTCTGTTACGTGGATGCATGTTAATAACTGCGCTGCATTCACTTGACAATGTAAAAGAAAATTGTGCTGCATTTTACTCAGTAACAATGCCACATGCATAGTCCCATAAAATTTATTTAGCTAGCCAAATTGAAATAAGTTCTCTAGTTGTTTTGTTGAGAATTTTCAGTGCATACATAAAACATTGCTCTACGGAACATGAAAGGTGATTCAACTTGAAAGTTTGTACTTGTATGGTCATAAAAATTTTAAACTGGGGATTATGCCATGTCACCTTTTCATGTGGAAGGTGGACGAAAAAAGAGAGATCATTTCATCAGCTTTGGTGATGCCTATTCCAACTTCAGCTCAGAATTATGAGCCACTAGAATCTCTAAAAGAAAATTCTTTTCCGGTCTTAGACAGGATATTTCTTACTCAATGTTTTCACGTGGAATATGGAGATGAACTTCAAGGGTGTTCTGCCCTACTGGTTCTATTTGTGGTTTATTTCTTGATGAAAGAACTAACAGAGAACCAAATAAGGAAGTTGAATAAGAAAAGATAAAGCACTAGGTGCAGGCAATATTGACTTCAATTGTCAAAGTTCTCTTGATGTCATCTCTTGATTCATGAATCATTCCTGGAAAGCCTACTGAAGTTCATCTGTTGCATGCTTCATAGGGATGGGATTCATTGGACACTGCACATGCAGCTGAACTCCTAAGTTTAAATCTTGGAGCCATGGAGAAGTTGAAGGAATCAGAAGAGCTATTGGAACGGTGATACTTGTCAGCGACAGCTGTCTGTATGTCTGTTTTGATCATTTTAGTGCAGTTGCTTAATCTTTCTAATGGTTAATTTTCTAGATGCCTTGCAGTCAAGAAAAAGGTTCTACCTGAAGATCATCTTCAGGTTTGTTCTTTCCCTCATATTGAGCTCTTGAGATTTTCTTTGTTGAATAAAAATGTAAGCTATATTCTTGAGTTGTCAAATGTAAGTACTGTAACAAGCTCCCTTGCATGGTGATTTTTGCTTTGGCTTTGATTTTTTTTTTGAAGGGCGAGCCTGGTGCAAGCGGTAGAGTCTTACCGCCTGTGACCGGAAGGTCCCGGGTTCGAGTCGCGGTCTCCTCGCATTGCACAGGCGAGGGTAAGGCTTGTCACTGACACCCTTCCCCAGACCCCGCACAGAGCGGGGGCTCTCTGCACTGGGTACGCCCTTTTTTTTTGAAATTGTTTTTTTAGAAACGATCCTAAGATCAATTGTATTTTGAGTTTTCCACCTTAGAGCATGTACCATGGTTCGTCTATTTGCCTCCACATAATATTGAGATGACTTGATACACAATTCCTGCATGGGGTTTTATCTGTAGTTGACTAGTTGCCTTTAAGTAAATTGACAAGCCCTTAATTTATTCGTCCGTGGAAGAAGGAAATGCCTTCATTGCAATGTTAGGGCAGCTCCAGTGTCTGATTCAATCTCAAATGCTGAGATGAACTTCATGATCCGGGTACTATCTATGGTTTGGGTGCTCCCGTGCTGCAGTCAATTGTTGGGGCCCACAACCGAATACAAAAAGGAAAAATCTGCAGCTTCTTTGCCCTTCTCTCTCCACGCTACTGCAGGAAAGACAGCAGGAGTTGCGCTCGTCGGTTCTTTGTTCCATCCATTCGAACAAAACTGGAGTTGAGCGGAGCAATCTTTTTGCTGTTTGTTGGATCTAGTGTTGAAATCGAAGCATACTCCTCTCTCCTCATGGTTCGGTTTCACAGCACGCTGGAGCTGCTCTTATATGACAGATGGTGTGCCTCTAGTTTCATAGCACTAAATTTTGCTTATAGGACACTTGGTTTGTGAGATAAGGGTCTCTTTCTCTCACATGTCCACCACGTCACCTACAATGCATGAAGCAACCTATAAGGCGGCTGGCATCGACATTATAAGTGCCCTCTGGCATCTTCATTTGTGGCAGTCTATGCAGATGTCTCTGTGTAATGAATGTGGGCCCAGCATCAGTGGTTTTGTACCATTCACCTGCAGCAGTAGCCTCATCTCCAATAATTCTGTTCCTTCATAATTTTTTATTGGGTAGAGAAGTAACTCAAGATCTGTGATGCCTCTTGTCCATCTTTGTCTGTTAGTGTTTCCTTGTCAAATGCTCACTGGCGTGACAAGCATGCATATATTCATTGTCACTACACACTTAATTACTGCCATTGGCAACACTCACATTCTCTACATGATGCAGTCAAAGGATCAGGTACAACAGAGCCTTTATCAAGTAGGGGGTAGGCTAAAGATTAAGATGATGGATCAATAAAGAGGATTTAAAAAGTAAAACAAAGTATTAGTAGTATTAATTGTAACTCTGAAGTAACTGTGAATAAATTGATGATCTAAACAAAAGGTCCGCAACAAGATCTAAAACTGAAAAATCTCATCAGAGAAAAATGACCTCTGGCCATGTTGGCTGCATCAACCAGCATGAAATCTCCTGAATTTGATTTCCTGCTCCCACCATTGTGCTTACATTATTTCTTCCTCAGTGATGATTCCATCTTCAGGCTGCTCAATACTGTGATAAATTTAATGTTTCAAATTGTGCTTTATAGAGAAACATCAAGAACCACAATACTGTGATAAATTTAATGTTTCTAATTGCGCTTTATGGATGATGCCAACCAGTCAGCAGGGATAGGACCTGAACCATGTTTTAGTAACACTGTTTTACATTGTAAGTAATTAGTTTTTACATTGATCAACTGTTGTTTTCTTGTTTCCATTGCAGGTAGCTCTTACATTGGTACACTTGGCAAGGTTAACATTGCAAAAAGTTTTAAATGATCTGGAGAATGCAAACAGCGATGTAACTGCATATTACCTTGCAAAGGCAAACCAGCTCAGCAATGATTCAATCAGGTTTTTCATTCTTCTATTTTCTTTTCTCTTTCACTGTTTTGAATTACTGGTCTCTGATTCTCCATGACTTGATTTGCAAAGCACTTGTATTTTGGCATGTTGGTTGCATTAAGTCAAATGACTGCTGTTAGTTCGGCACTATAGCCAATAATTTGCAGTATCCTAGTTTTGATGAGGTTCTACTGGAAACACACCTGATAAGCTATGGACACAAATTCAATTGGTCAGGTGAATAAAGATGCTATGAAACAAAATGTGTGCATGTGGTGACAACTGATGCTTTACAATATACTAGAGGCAATCTTGATTGTATTCAGTTAATTTAGTTAAAAAAATGAAAGTTGTTTATACTATTTTGTATGCATACATAAAGGTTGATGATCTGAACTGTTTTCAGTGTCTAATTCAATATTCTTAATGTTTTTCTGTATTGGTATTTCATTTCCTGTCTCAATCTGGAATCTGGTTACTTCAGGATTTGAAATCCTTGCCCTCAGGTCTATTGCATTGATGGTCAGCTAATTAACTGTAATATTGTTGTCCACTAGTGGTCTTTTCTTTTCTAATGTATCATCATTATTTTAGGATTTCCTATAAAACCAAATTGGTATGTACTAAATGGCAAGTTGGATTGCTGATAACTGATGGGCCTTGAATATTTTTTTTATTGTAGGATCACAGAAGGAAAATTAAATTCTTCAAGAAAAGATCAGAATAAAATTAACAGCACATCAGCTACAGATACAGATAAGATTGCAGCAACAGCTATTCTTGTATGTCTCTACTCATCTTAAGGAGTTTGAGATCTTCAACTCCTTTTCTTGCCATTTTCTTCCCAGCTCCTCACAACACTCGAGTATAACCAAATAGGTAGGCTCTTGCCATAGGCCATATGACCCCCGCCCAAAAAAAAAAGACACTCCCTCACGCACATGCACACCAATATTAAATTAAGAAGATGCTGAATATAATTTGGCAGCCTTTAGGTCTGGGTCTAGATGGAGACTAAAAAAGGGCGTACCTAGTGCAGAGAGCTCCCGCTCTGTGCGGGGTCTGGGGAATGGTGTCAGTGGCAAGCCTTACCCTCGCCTGTGCAATGCGAGGAGACCGCAACTCAAACCCGGGACCTTCCGGTCACAGGCGGTAAGACTACCAAAAAAAAAAAGGTTTGAGGACCATGTTTGGTCTTTGCATGACCTTAGTACAAGTGTAAAGTAATAAGGTAATAAGGTTTGATAGGAGGCAATGTTTTTATACCGAGAAACATGGCAATCAGACAAGGTTGCTGTGATATTACTTGCCTCTCCATACTGTAGATATGTAGCACCGAAGGTATCTGTTATGCTTATTACCATAATATCCTAGTTATTGTACTGGCATTTATAATATTTTTTTTTGAACGCGCTGGAGAACTGGAAGGAATAGAAAATGTGATAGAGAGAAACACACATGGACACTGGCCACACACCTACACACGTTAATTAAAACAATTGTGCCATGGATATGAGAGAGGCGACCACTAATACTATGTATACTTGGGAGTGGAAAAACTAGACTAGTTCCAAAACCAAGTTCCCGAGACCAGCATGTACAATTATTTGTTATTTTTTTATCACTTCTTTTGTTTTCACTAATCCTTATTACATTAAGTTACTCTATACAATTTCTGGTTTTGTGTGTATCAAATTTTCTTCCTCGTGTCCATGGTTGGCCCATTCAGTTATCATCATGGGAATGTTTAGACATTTGATACAAAGTAGCTAAAGAATAGAGGTAGTCCTACCGTGGTCAAAGTTGTCACAATTTTTTTCTCTCGAAAACTCACGAGAGCTACACATCATTATATTAAGAAGATGAAAAAAGGCGAGTGCCCATACAAGCATAAAAGCTCAACCCACACACACACTCTGCTGCTGCCCTTAGGAACACTTACGCCTGCGAAAGAAACTACAAACGACCAATAAACCATAAGATAGGGCGCTAACCACCTGGAGCAATGGCGGCTAAGAGGGATAAACCTCGAGTCCCTGCCAACGACCATGCCTTCCCCTCATCTTCAGCTACAGTATACCGGCAATATTTTTGGAGCTGCGCAATAAAAAACGCACTTGTTGCGGTGTGTCCATAAAGTCTAGGCTCCAAGGATAATGAGGGAGTTGATTCCTTTCCTCAACATGTCACCAACAGTATTGCTCACCATTTCACACCACAAATGGTAGGATGTTTCTGTGGGCTGCGGGGCGAAGGTTTGGAGCCCAAACCGTGAGAAGAGCCTTGTTAGTAGATGGAGTACTCCCTATGTTACACAATAATTATCCAAGGCTCAGCCTATTGTTTGCAGTGGCAGTGGCAAACAATGTATTTTGTTGAAAAAGTTGATGTGAAATGACCATTTACAGATGTCTATTACATAACATGTTAGCAACTTGGTACTCTTTCGCAGTATGAAAGTAAAGAGTGGAAATACTGGAATAACCACACTTTGGATTTCCTAAGTGCACTAACATTGTGAACTGATTGTTCCTTGGGAGGAATATTACAAAACAGGGGCAGGAAAATGGTACTACAGTACAGGACAGATACAAAATTATTTATTAGGATTACCTTGTGGATAAATTTGATCATACCTCTAGTCTACAAATAAAGCAGTACTACCCCATCCTGAAATATAAGGGGTTGTGCGGTGGCCGTTCCTTGGTCAACGTCGATTCCCTTAATTTGAGGGATTGTGGGGAAATGTCGGTGGCCTATGCTTGACGATAACGGCCGTGTGTGGCGGCGACCTTGGCTTGGCGATGCTGGTTGGGTGTTGATGGCACTGGGTATAGCCGTATAGGCATGGTTGCTGCCGTAGTTAGCCCTATGGTGGCGCGGTGACTGCAACAGTCGAAGGTCGGTGTAGAGAATTAGGGGAACACCTCACACCCAATTAGGGGTTGGCTTTGATATATATATTCAAGTACAACTTGGAGTACAAGTAATATGCTTTGTGCCGTTTGTGCGACGATGATGAACCGGATTGGCTGACATTGTCGCAATAGACAATGGTCGCCAAAGGTATTGAGATATGAAGGTCCTGAAGTAGCTGTCATAGCCGGCAACACTCAACAACTACATGGGCAACAACTCGGTACTCTGCCTATGCACTGGACAGAGATACCGTGATCTACCGTTTTGAAGACAAGGAGACCAAGTTGTCGCTGAGGAAGACACTATAGCTCGAAGTAGAACGCCAAGAGTCTAGACATCCAACTTAGTCGGCGTCAGAGTATGTCGTGATGGATGACGTGTGCTGATGTCGAGATGTAGACCTGTGTCGAGGGTGCCCTTCACATAACACAGAATGTGCTTGATTAGAGCAAGATGAGGCTCCTAAGGGTCGTGCATGAAGAGGCAGACTTATTGAACGACGTAAGCAAGGTCGGAGCGCGCGACGGATATGCCGAGTAATCGGTGGAGAGCGCCAAGGTCGGTCATGGCGAACTTGGAGCTAAGGCGATATGTGATGTGCTGCAGTAGAGCAGAAGAGGACTCTGTCAATACAATGTCGTCGACTTAGAGCAGCAGGTAGGCGACATCATCTTGATCTTTGTAAATAGAGATGTGTCGGACTTTGGCGCAGAGAATATGTGCTTGCAGATAGGTGGCAAACCGCTGATGCCATGCGCGAGGTGCCAGCTTGCAGCGACTTCTACAAGAGGCAAAACGAGTCAACCAGTCAGGGGCCGACGGGTTGATGAAGCCGGACGGTTGCTGGCAGTAGACAGTCTCCTCAAGATCGCCATGGCAGCACGCCAGTTGGGGTTGGCCAACACGCTGCGGTAGTTGGCAGGAAGTGGAGATGTCGACGTGGGAGAGAGACCGGTAGTTAACAGGTTGCACAACACTAGTCTGTAACCCAGTCGGCACCCGCTGGAGGAGGTTAGTCGGCGACGTCGTGCCCTGCATAGGCCTTGGAGGCGGCACAAGCAGTTGCAACATCCCAAAAGGCAACCCTCTGCGAGGGCTGGGGTGCATGAACCATGTGTGGCAACTAAGGCGGCAACTCAGCGACACGAAGAGGCAGACCAGACGTGTTGGTCGGTGTCGTGGCAGTGGATGGCCCAGCCCCGTCCGTCGTGGGTGATGATGATGAAGACAGACAGAACTGGTAAACCTTGCCGCTGAAGCGGCGGTTCGCACGTGGAGCCAGCGGTTGGCACTGGTAGATGACCCCAAACCGGGAGCTCTCAACTAGAAGGTCACGCGGGTGGGGGGGGGGAGACTACACGGGGGGAAAGCTGCATACGAGGAAGCGGAGGCACGCACGGGGAAGAGAAGAGACCGTGCGTAGGCAGTGCATGCTTGGTGGTCACGTGGTCATGGACCGGCGACGCGGGAGGGATGCTAGGGCAGAGAAACCCGGACTCTTGATACCCTGTAGAGAATTAGGGGAACACCTCACACCCAATTAGGGTGTGGCTTTGATATTTGTAGTCAAGTACAACTTTGTGTACAAGTAATATGATATACATGTGTTAGGCTTACATATCTCTAATAGTTGGCCCTGCGGTGGCGCGGTGATTGCAAATGGTAGTTGCAACAGTCGAAGGTCGGCCCTGTGGTGGCGTGATGACTTCAACATCCAAAGGTAGATGTGCTGTCCTTGCTGGCGACACCGACTTGTGGATGTCACTCTTCCCGCTGGGGATGTCGTTGTGGGGCCTCTTCTTTGGGCGAAAGCCCTATTTGGGCCTTGGACAAACGACGGCGGTGCCATCAGTGTTGTAACGACCTTGGAGGAGTCATTTTGGAGACCTGTCTTGGCCATACGGGGCCTCTATCTTCGTGTGCTTGCCCTCGCTTCAAGTTGTCCGTCCGCCGTCCATTGCTTGTTGTTTGGGCAGTTCATGTGGAGTCGATGCAGCTACGTCAATGGAGAGCTTGTTGCGAGGTTGTGGTTGTCGTAGGAAGTCAGAGGTGCTCTTTGCTCTTGCACCAAGCTTGGTGATGGTGACCTATTGTAGGATCTCTGTTTGGCCTAGACGGGGGTGAATAGGCTGTCAAAACAAACACTCAAACTTTTATCAAATTCATCCTGCGGCACTGCCGCTCTGGAGGGCGGCACTGTCGGACTGCGGACAACTTCGAGTCAGTTCAAAATCAGTGAACGGAAACTTAGATCGGAGAAATTTCTCAGCCTACTACAGGTATGATAGTTACAGATCAAGAGCTAAAAGTTGTAGGAACACCACACACAAGTAGATCGACTAGAAACCCTAGAAATCACCTTAACCAACAATGTGAAATGCAAGTAATGTAAATCAAGCACAAGTGACACAATGATTTATCCTGTGGTTTGGCTCGCCACCAAGGCTTGCCTACCTCCACGTTGTTGCGGTTAGCCACTAAGGCTTAGGGCTTTCCAACCATTCCTCGTTCTTAAGTCAAGAGACTTAACTCTTGAGATGAGGGGTGAGTTTACTAGCTTCAAAAGATGGTTACAAACCTCCCGGGGCTGTCATACAAGTTGGCAAGCTCCACGGGTGACGCTCTAACCAGCTAGGAGCCAAGCTCCAAGAGTAACAAACACAACCACCGGCCAAAACGTGAACCAAGTGCTCTTTAGAGTTGGGGAATCAATGGAGCTGCTCTCTAATCGAGTTTTGGACCTTTTTTTCTTAAGGATTGATGGGGAAATCAATGAATTTGCTTGGGGGCTTGAGGTCAACAATGGAGGGAGAGAGAGAGCTCTTGCTCTATTTTGGGCGTGCTCAAGTGAGAAAGAAGAGTC